CAGCCTGAATGTCCGCGGAATCTCGAAGAAAATATCCGTTTTCCGGCAGGAATCGAACCTGTATCCCATACAAACCGTCACAAAGCCTAACGTACTAGACCATTTAAGTAACAGACGAAGCGTATAGTTGTCATTGTTAAATAACTGTTTTTAATTCAGGCCGGTAAATGTTTTTAATACTGTTATGTTATAAACAGAGCTTTTACTGAAATATTTGTATTTATAAAATATAGCACACACACATATATATATATATATATAGCAAAAATAGAATCGAAGCCAAGAAGAAGCCAATATTTTAGTTACCTCTATAGAAGAGCAAAGCGTGAAAGCGGTTAACATTTAATATTATAATTTAATATTATAATGTAAGCTCTACTTCTGTATCGAGCACTGTTTTTTTTTTTTTTTTTAAATAGAAACATAAATACTAAAGAACTGTGGATCATTAATCTAGCTGTTCTTTACTGTTACATCAATGCACACACTCACACACATATATATATTCCAATTGTATGGGTTTGTATTTATATAAACTAATTTTCAACAGCATTTCTTCAATATTTGTTTATATGTCTGAGATGATGTCGTATGATTCGAACCGAATTACGACACCGGAAAAGATAAGGCACTTGGCGCTATAACAATCTACCCTGTTGGGCGAAATAAGGGTTCAGTTCGTTGCAATCAATTGCAGAAGGTCGGAGCGTACACCGGCCAAAATGTTGTGAATATGGCAATGAAAATGAGTTTAACACTCCGAATAACGTAAATAATACATGTATTTCTTCAATTTTAATATTTATTTTTTTTGAGTCTTAACCCCTTCCCCGGCGTTGACATATATTTACATTTTTACGAAACTTAACTTTTTCAGTCAGGAATAAATAAACGCGACTAAAACATAAGAAAAGAACATGAGAAAAAGAAAAGAAAAGAAAACAGCTACGGACGTATTTATACGTCGATCTTGATTATTTTTATGCTCTTCTGAGCTTGAAACGTGTTCATTTGTCAAATCAAAAATCTGGTAGACGTGTTTGCCATATCTTTGGGTACTTCAAGGTACCTCTGTTTCTTAGTTAATGTATTAAAATTAATTAAAAAAAATAATCAACATCTCTCGCCAAATAATTAGTTGGGAAAGCGTTAATTAGTTTCACGGTGTTTACTCTTTTTTTTTCCCTAAATATCACCTCAACACCAACCCGTATATTTTTTCCCCATTTCAATTATTTTACTTTCGATTTTTTTAAAAAAAATTTTCATCACGTTTTTACGTATTTTTCAGCATTTCATCTCGTATTTCAGGTTTGTATTTCATTTTGTTTTTGTCCTCTTTTAGTCTTACCTTTTTCCTAATATTATTTTCTTACTTTCTTTCCTCATCTTTTATTCTTTCATCATTTCAGTTTCTCGTAACTTTCTTTTCTTTCCTATCCTTATCTCCATTTCACTATTTCCTTTCGCTTTCTAACTTACTCCATTTCTGTTTACTTTTTTTTTTTCAATGTCTTTCTTTGTTTTCTCTATTTGAATCCTTCTCTCGTCTGTTACTTTCCTTCAGCTATAACATAACACCTTGTTCACTTCCATACTCTTTCTTCTTCTCAGTCTTTATTCTTTTCTTTCTTCATATATTTTTCCTAAATACCGACATTCATTTTTTCATCTGTTACGATTTCCCACACATTTCCATTTTCCTTCATTTTGGCTTCGGTCTTTTCTTGTATGCAATTTCCTTCCCTTCTGCTTTCTCTTCCTTTCTCATTTTCTTCTTGTGTTTCTCATTTTTCGAAATTCCTTACTTTCTGTATTATTTCGATTTATGTCCATTTGTGTTCATTTTTTTTTTCTTTCGCTTATCCTTAAATTCGTTTCTTCATTGACTCGCATTTCTTTTCTTCTTTGTCAATTTTTCTTTCTTTCTTTGTCAATTTTTACATTTCTTTTCTTGCCTTTTCAATTTCTTCCTCCGACGCCATCTTTACATCCTTCTCGCTTCGTTACTCTTCTACAGAAAAGAAATAAAAAACAAAAAACAAAGAAAAATGGCCCATTCTCTGAGTTCCAACAAAGAACGATAACCAATATACTTCTGCCTGTCTGCTTAGAAGCTTGTTACTTTCAAAGTATTGATTGTCTGGATTTACTCATGGAAGAGGAGGAGGTGGTGGTAGAGTTGTGCGGGAGGGGCAGTGTGGTGGAGGATTGGGTGTGAGGGCAGAAGCAACGGGCAGCTTTTCTGCGCTTACCTTGCAGGCCTCGCTTTGTCTGCCGTAGAAGTTGTGTTTTAGTTAATTACCAAATTATCGCAGAGTAGCCGACGTCAGCACAAGAAAAGGAAAAATGACAGGCGGGAAAACTTCGAAATTTCATCAAGCAAGTAACGTTTTTGGCTCGTTTGTGTTTGGAGTGAATACACACATACACACACACACTCATGCATATACTAACTTATACATAGATGCCTGTATACATACAAACACACTATATATGTGTGTGTTTGTGTTTATGATACAAAGAAAGAGGGGGAGTGACAGTGGATGAAAGAGAGGTGTATATGGGTGTGTTTGTAATTTCATTACGCTTTTCGACGAGTTTATGGCCATCAACCAAATTAGTAGTGAGAGTTGGAGGAACCTAAGATAGGAATTTCTTGCCGCTATCAAGATTAGGTCGAATTAGTCGCTGCTTACTCCATAAGTAGATAGAAATTAATCGAAAATAATGGAAGTCTACTCCACCCATAAACTAGTATGCGTACAAGAAGAAAATCATCTTCAATTGCATTATATTAAAAGAAGTTAATCCCAGAGTGCCGATAACGCTGGTATTTGAAGCGACGTTCCAACAGAATGGGAACAAAAAAGAAGGAAAGAAAGAAAGAAAGAAAGAAAGAAAAAAAAGAAATGTTCATTTGCGTGTTCAATAAATGATTAGCATTTAACGATACGCCATGGCTTGTTCGATTCTTACTGCATTCTCCATTCTTATATCCGAAAGAACTTTCTTTCGTCGATAAAAACGAATCCATATAATCTTTAGCACCAAACAAGAGTAGGTATAATATATTTCAGTTATCGGTGCAAAAAGTGAAATCCTTAAAGGTGTTCAAATTCTAACTAAGTCCGTTGCATTCAGTTCATACAAATGCCCCCCCCAAAAAAAATGTAGGGATAATTAGTCATAGCGATGCCAGCGCAACTGAGGATTGCGGGGTCTGGGCAAGTTTTGTCCTTGGCGTGACTGTACGCCCTCGGGTTCCCCACATTAAAGCCAACCTTCTGTCGCATCTCTTCCCAATGGGGAGACCGGGGTAAATAATCAATAGCTCTCAGCTAGCAGTTAGATAATAGGATAGACAGAACTCTCTAGTTTTGGCTAGAAGATAGTCTAAGGCAAGGGTCGGCAACCTTTATTCTGACGATGTGACGACTTAGGGTTTTAAAATTATTCAGTGTGCCAACAGCTGACAAAGTCAAGGTCAGTATACCTGTTCTAAAATATATTTTATATAGTACTATATATAATAGTATGCAAACCACATTAATAAAAATAAAATCTATCTAAAAGTTTATTTTAAAGTGTTTATTATTAATGAGAGCATTACCTTTGCATGGGAACATTGAAGAAAGTTCCAGGGATATTTTGTGCACGATGTAATCATTTTTATTAAGATCCCCGCCTTGGAAAAGTTGAGAAGATAAGGAAATTGAATATAGAATAGACTTGGGGCCGGCAACCTTTTACTGGCTATGTGCTGAATTAAGGCTTAAGATAAAAAGTATACGTATTTTTTTATAGAAGTCAATGCCAATATACCGGTTCTTATTTTTTAAGCATTTCACCCCAAGCAAAGCGGAATGCCACTAGTATGCAGGGGGTTACAGAGTGCGAGCGAGAGTAAAGAGGTGTGATGCAGGAAAGGATAAAAGAGAAGGGTAGGGGATAGTTCAGGGCATCTGGAGATGTCGATTGACATTACATTTGAATAGTTGGAGATTATAGCTATCAGAGAAACAAGTAATAGGAAGGGAATTCCACAGACGGGAGGTGCGAGACATGAAGCTATTGGAGTAGAAGAGACGGCCACATTTAACCGTTTCGACAGTGAAAGGGTGGGTCCGTGATGCTAGCCTAGTAGCACGCTTAAATTCATGCAGTCCGGGAACTAGCAAAAGTAGCTCTTCGAAGCAGTTACGGTGAAAGTATGTGTAGAAAAGACAGAGGGAGGCAACGGCACGTCTGTGAGAGAGCGACTGAAGACGAGATGCCAGATCAGGACCAACCACATAGCTTATCTCTCTCTGCATCTTACAATATATCTTATATAGTAATATATATAATAATATGTAAGCCACATTAATAGAAATAAACTGTTTTTAAAAGTATTTTTTAAGATTGTATCATTAATGGGAGTTCAACGAGTGAGCAGTTTTGAAACAGTTAAATATTTTCTTTGCGTTGTATTAGTTATTGGTTCGGACTTCGTGATGTCATTTGCGGCTGCGTACCATTGGAAATTGCTTGGTGTGGTACGCGTGCCGTAGGCTGCGGTCCCCTGGTCTAAGAGAAGGAGTAGTACGAATTTAAAAACAGTGGAAAAGGAAAAGGGAATGGGAAAACGCTAACATATCTTTCCAGAGACGTCATCACAATTCGCTGCTTAAAAAAAGAAATCAAGAATCTATGACCAGCCATTATAGTCTACGTACTAAAAGGACAAATATACCGAGTGCAAATTATTCCAGCGTTTTTATTTGTTTGTACACACACACACACACACACACACACACACACACACACACACACACACACACACACATATATATATATATATATATATATATATATATATATGTATATACAGACTGCAGTTCAAAATTTAAAACCGTCTCCAGAATTATTAGCATGGGATGAACTTGATAAAAAAGTGGGAAAAAATGAACAAGAGTCATTGAAAAAAAATGGAATCAGTTATCAAATTTATACTTTGAGAAGATTTTGCAACAAATGCCAAAAATATGTGTTGCATTACGCAAGGCTAAAGGAAGATATTTTGACGAGATCAAAAATTAATCATATTTTTTTCTTTTTGTCATAATAAAATATTTCTGATAAAAATCATCTCTCACTTTTTTAACCATATATAATATTTTACTCTTATTTAAAATACAAAACGACTATTTGTTGCCTCAAACATTTAAACTGTAATATAATGTACAGCCAGTTAGATCAGGGCTACAGGAATGTAGGACGACGATGGCTAAGACAGAAAGAAACTTGTCAGCTGTCAATATACCACATATACCGCTTAGCCTTGGAGCGGGTAGAATGGAGATCAACGTGTTTTACTGAACTCAGCAGTTTTCAATCTGATTGTCTGAATCATCTTCAAGAAGCGAGAGAAAAAAATCTAAAAAGTCAGCCAATCTAACAGTGATATCATCTCACAATCCTCACTCTTGCTCCATATCTGGCCTCCTTTGTAAATCAGTATCGGCTCTTAAGTGCCACTTAAGATTATCGCACAAAATGACATAACTGAATCAATCAAGCTGTCTGAACCTCATACGCCGAAATCGACGGGAGAGTCCCATATATATATATATATATAATCATTTGACTCCAAGCAGAGCAATAAAGCCACAATGGCTTAGAGCATGTTAAAGAATATAAAAAAAAAAAAAACAAAAAAAAAAAACAAAACACAGACACTGTTTGAGGAGAGGTGACAATAAAAAAATAGGGATTAAGAAGGCAAAATATAACGATTGAAATTGCATTTATATTTTTGAAGATCAAAGTTTGACTAGGAAGTAAGAAAGCAGAAGAGAAATGTGAGAGAATAAAATGTTTGCACAGAACTTACGTTTACATCGACCCATTTCAGTTGAAATATGATGAGACCTGGTTGCCAATCTAGTATTGCATTTAAGTTCATACTTTCTAGATAGTACAGAAGAAATATCAAAGTATTTATAGAAAAGGTGAGCTCCATTAGCGCGGTGTGAAGATACGAGATGTCAAGTCAGGACCAATAGCAGTGCAAATTATTCTTTGGATTTTATCAAGTATCTCTAAATATATAGCAGGAGAACGATGCCAGCTGTGGAAGAAATATTCAAAGCAAAGGCGAATGACAAACTTCTAAATATATAAGATAGATTCTGACGAGAAAAATTGTCTAGTACGGTACAGAAAAGCGACTTTCCGAGCAGTAATAGATTCAATAGTTCTACTTCATGCCAATGGAAACAATAGTCCAAGAAGATGAAATGGATCACTCTCCTGGTAGTAATTAAAGAGAATATATATATATATATATATATATATATATATATATATATATATATGTATGTGTGTGTGTGTGAGTGTGTGTGTGTGTAAAATGTATATGTATATCGATATTTATTTATATATACATATATATGTGTGAAATGTTTATGTATATCAATATATATATATATATATATATATATATATAGTTTTAAGGTGTGCTATATTTATGGGATAAAGTTCTCACTATCAGAGATAGAGCGTATGTAAATATAAAAATGAACATTGAAGTCAACACTTAGAGGTGATTGGTTTGTTTTTCATGCTAGATGCAATCGCTAGGATTGCATCTAGCATGAAACAGACTGTCGATTCTAAGTGTTGATTCAATGTTCACTTATATATATATATATATATATATATATATATATATATATATATATATATCCGATGCGATGAGAACGAAAGTAATATATAAATTCCAACGTTCACCGCATTAATCTAAAAGAGGGCTCGATACTGATAGTAGAGCGATAATTATTATTTATTATAATTTTATCATATAAACAAAACCATTTTACTCACTACAAAGATGCAACTTCGTTTC